AGAGAGGAACTCGGGATCATTGAGGGTTCCTTGAGTCACGCTCTGGATTAGCTCTAGGGAATGAAATTTGAGTTCTGTTCATGGGATTGGCAGAACAAGGGAGGTAGAGTTCATAGGCTTAGGGGCCACACCCTCCACCTCAGCAAGGTGACCCCTCTTGAAGAAAACATTAGCTTTCTGGCAGTCCATTATACCTTCACAGAAACATGTTTCTTAGGTCTAAACACTGCCTATCTAAAGTCACAACTGACAAGGTATGCCCATAGTCACCAGGATAGGCTGGCTACTCATGATACACTAATGAGCTCTTTGGCCCAACAGTTTACCCAAGCAAAGGCTACGTACAGTACTCCTGCCACAGTCCCCACAGGATACCAGGGAGGGCTCTGCTCACTGTAACACAGTGAATACAAGTTCCATCTTGCACTTGATCCCACCCTCTTTGCCAGGCACAAAGGGGACATAAGGATTCACACAGTGGTTCTTAAAGAGTTGTGTGTGCACATATGTGCAAGTGTGTATGCATGATTGTGTGAGGTGTGAATGCAATCGTGTGTGTGTGTGTGTGTGTGTGTGTGTGTGTGTGTGTGTGTGTGTAAACCAAGTCAATCTGGGTATTGTTCCTCCAGATCCATGCACCTTGGTTTTGAAGCATGGTCTCACCTTGAACCTAGGACTCACTGGTTAGGCTCCCTGTGAATACCAGGTATCTGCTGGTCTCTGCCTCCCCAGTGCTGATACTGAAAGTAACCCCCCCCCCCCACACACACACACACTGCCTATACTTTCGTATGATTGCCAGGGATTGAACGCAGGTCTTCCTGCTCACACAGCAAGTATGTTACTCACTGAGCTATCTCCCAGTCCCACTTTCTGAAGAGTTCTAAGCAACACTGAAATTCCAACCCTTGGGAAGCTGAGACAGGAGGATTGTGAGATTAAGGATAGCCTCGACTACACAGCAAAGCTGTGCCACAGAAACAAGCAGCAAGATTCTCTACAAGCTGGGTATAGTGATGCACACCTGTAATCTCAGCTACCCTGGAGGCTGAGGCAGGGGCATTGTGAGTACTAGACTAGATTGGGCAACATAGCAAAGCTCTGTCTCAAACAAGCAGTCAAAGAAAGAGTGCTGTATAGAAATGACACGAGTCATTTAAACACCAGAGCAAGGCACATGGCCACATCTAACTTAAAGGGAGGAGGAAAAATGTACCCTTACCACACACTTAGAAGATTGGCAGACATTTGTGAACAATCAAGGACTAGACAAAGTGGCTACTATGGGACTGGTGGATGATCCCAGGAGGTAGAATCTTGGGAACTCCTTTTTATACCTATTATAGGGAACAGCAGGGCACAACCTGGACACTAACCTAAGCCCTTTAACACTCTGGAGATGTCCGTCCAAGGTCAACAGAGTGGCAGTATGGAAAGCTCAGGGGCAGACACTTCTAACTAGGCACAAGGGCTTGTCCAGACATGGAAAGTGCCCACTAAGATCTTCGGTCAGGATAATCTACTTCCTGAATTTTCAAGGCCTTTGGGGCGAGTCTTCCTAAGCCCATAAACTAAGAACATCAGAGTTGGGCGGGTGCCCTGGAGCCTGGCTGCTCCGGTGTGGTCTCTGGATCTACAGCATCAGCACCACCTTCCCCTGGGAGCTTGTGAGAGACATCCGGTCTCAGGCCCCACCCAAAACTACTGAACTGGAATCTGTGTTTTACAAGATTCCCCAGGAGATGTGTATGCACATCAGAGTCTGGGAAGTACTTCCCCAGCGCTAATTTAGGCCAACATTTTCATTTCACAAATGAGACGCTGACACCCAGAGGGAGGAGGCGGGCTCAAAGTCACACAGCTGGTTCCAATCCTGGCTCCACCACTTGCCAGAGACTTTGAGTAAGTCATTTAAAAATGCACTGACTCTCACTTTCCCCTTCTATAATAAAGGGTACCACACTCAACTCCAAGTGCTTGTGAATGCATCAGGTAGGACAGCAACCAGATTGGGATTCATAAACATTGACTGTTACTATAGTCCAAGCTCACTGCTTTAAGGCCACCCTCTCATCTCCCAACACTTGGCAGCTTCTCTACAGACATGCTGACCAAGTATTGCTGTGTAGGGGTGAGTGCTGGGCCAGTGGGGTCTATGCAGATCCCCTTCCACCATTTGACCTTGAACTAGTTCCCGAGTTGTTCCAGTTCCTGGCTTTAGTTTAATCATTCATCAGTGCTTTGACCCCGTCTCATAAGGTCATTGAAGGTCTTTGATCTTTGAATAGGCTGTAGTACAGAATAAAGCAAATGACAAACTTATGTTTGCAAACTACCCAAAAGAAGAAGACCCTAGGGAGTCTATAGGTCATTCCCAGAATGGTTCTACTTTGACACATCTAAGTATCTCAAATTCCTAGGTTTTCTTTCCCCTCTCTTGTTCTGAGGTTTGAACCTAAGACCTCACACGTGCTAGGGAAGTGCTCTACCACTGAGCTATACTCTCAGGCACTGAAAACTTCTCTTTCTTCTTCAGCTAGTGAAATGGACTCTCAAGGCTTCCACTATCCTCTTCTCAGAAATCATGGAAAGGAGGGGTTAAAGAGGACCGAGGCAGACTGGAGGGCAGCTGTGCTCAAATCTTTGCAAGCTGTCAGAGAAGCTTAGACCTGGTCTCACTGGCTCTACAGAACAGAAACAGAAAATTCAGGTAACTCTTCTCCAGTCATTACAACTGTTGGAAGCAGCTCCAGTAACAAGTGAGCTGTTGGGTAGGAGGTCTGCCTTGCTGCAGGGCTGCACAGTCTACACGTGCTTCAGCCCGGCTGACTGTGAGCATCATTTCAGGCACTTTTCAATACTTCCCAGGCCCCACCTCAACCTGATCAGAATCTCTAGGGTGGATCTGGGATCCATTTTAAAAGCACCCCCACCACCCCCACAATAGTTCTCATAACAGGAGTGTGTGTTTGGAGGCAGGACCAGGCACTGGAAGAAGGAAGTCAGAGCCATCCACTGACTGGTTCCCAAGGGTCTTTGATCTTAGGGATTCTGGAGACTGTAGCTTCACTGGGTTTCTGTTCTTCCCAAAGATGTACTCTTCATCGGGGATCGAACACCTAATAGATCACACACACACACACACACACACACACACACACACACGCACGCACGCACGCACGCACGCACGCACGCACGCACACACGCACACACACACACGCACACACACACGCATGCACACCACCTTATTTTTTGTAGCAAGATTGGTCTTGAACTCACTTTCTTCCTGCCTCAACCAACCAACAAACACATTCTCCCTCGGAAGCCACTCTCTCAGATGGCCCGACTCTGGTCTTGGAGGACGCCTGAGTGAGTTGGGCCTTCAGAATAGGCAGCTTTCTCCCAACACACCCTACAGGGCACTCCTGTAACTGGGCGTCCTTCTTTCCCCCGAGGGCATCCTGGACCACGCCTAGGTCTCTCTTGAATGGATACAAAGGGCTCTGCCTACTTCCCTCTGTTGGGTCATTCTCACGGTTTGACAAGCCAGGGGTCACTCACTATTAGCACGCAACTCCTGCCAGAAAGATGCTATCCTTGGAGATTAAATGCCCGCGCAGAAGCAAGGGGTCGTCAACACCCACCGCAGAAAGGGAGTAGCTAACAAAAATATAATAAAATAAAAACAAATAAAAAGAACAGAGAAAGGGAGTGGCTGCCTTGACCCCACAGCGCCACCTGGTGTCTACCAGCACAGAGCAAGCTCGGCGCCTGCGGATCGCCGCCACTGCCTAAGTTCCTCGCAAGCTGACCACGCACCTCCAGAGAACCGCACTACCGCGCGGTGCTTTCTGACCCGGCTGCCTATGCATTATAGCCTTCCGCTGGTACCCTGCCTTTATCCCAGAATGCGTGCTGTCCCTTCTGCACTGCGTGACTGTGGGAGCCAGACAGAGTACCAGGTCCTGCCTGATGGTACAGTGCTGGGCTGAGGACACGTGCCGGAGCAGCCAGCAGAGGGCAGCCGGTCTCCACCTTCGGACCCCAAATGTGCCCATCCTGATACTCCATTGGGCCCCGCCCAGGGAAGGAGAATCCATTTGTGTTTATGGAGTGTCCCGTTGTCCTCTGGGCACAAACCTCCCCAGAAACTCCCGTCCAAGGTCTTGACCTCCGTTCGGGAGCTGTCAGTCTAAACTCTAGCTGTTGGGCCTGTTTCCTTATGCTTTCCTATCCTCTGCACCATTGGTGTAGGTCCCATGAGGAGCATTGCTGGCCTGCCTATCTGGCCAATAGAAGGACAAAAATCTATTGTTTACATTCTACTCATTGTTTTTGAAAAAGTCAGTGTGGGCACCTTTTCATGAACTGACACAGAGAAGCACAGCTCTGGGCTAGACAGGTGGGCCTAAAACAAGCAACTCTACAACCCTTCAGACAAGCCTACTTCCTAAGTCTGGTCTTCCTTGAACCTGGTTGTGGGGCCCTAACAAGGAAGCAGACAGCTAGCTGTGTCCCCACCCCCCACCGCAACTCTTCCCAGAAGAAGTGAGATTTCTGGAGTTGACACAGAAAGTTCCTCTGGCCGAGTTTCTCTTTGCAAGAGGCTTTCCAAGTTGACAATGCTGAGCACATTGTCTGGACCTAACAGAGCCTCTCAAAAGCCAAGTCCACAAAATTGCCATGTCCTGAGGTGGGGTGGAAGGCAAACAGGGCAAGGCATTTGGTTGTTTGGTTCCCTTAGAATTGATACTACAAAGTAAGCAGACCTTAGAAAACTCTTTGAGTCCTCTTTTGCTTGCTTGTTTGTTTTGTTTTTCGAGACAGGGTTTCTTGAACTCACTGAGATTCACCTGCCTCTGCATCCCAAGTGCTGGGACTAAAGATGTGAGTCCATTCATTTCCACCAGGCCCTGCTGCAATTGTTCTCAGCCAATTCCCCTCCTGGCTCCAACTCCAAGGTGTGGCAGGGCCCCACAGACAGAAGACAGACACCAGAGTTCTGTTCTAAACTGCTTTATTGACCAGATGAGAGATCAGCGTCCACATAGCCCATGCCTACAGCCTTTGCAGTGAACAGCGTTGTCCAAGGAGCATCACAGCCCAGCTCTTCCCCTTCCTCCCTCTGCTCCTGCCTTGGGGCCTGGAAGCTAGTGAATGTTCCTAAGAGAAGGGTGGGGTGAAAGAGGCAGGGTCTGGGTGGGTCTGAGTTGGAGGGGAGTGAAGACTGGAGGCAGAGGGAAAGGGTGTTACATGAAGACAGGTTACCTCTGCCTCCTTTCACATCAGATGAACTATTAGGAGTGGCTAGCACATAGCACTCTGGGCTATGCAGGCCCACGGAGAAACTACTGTCCATCCCAGCCACCAGACCCAGGATTAGGACCAGAATTGACCACTCCAAGATCTCGACCACTGATAAATGTGAATACATGTTCAAAGTATTTCGTTAGGGTCTTCCCTTCCCCATCAAACAGGGAACTTGATGCCTAAGGAGATCAGACAACATCCAGACTGTGGGGTCCTCTGGCCTGGGTGGTTCTCCATTCCCAATGGGACGATACCAGTTCCACATTCAAAGGCAAGAGCCCAGAGAAAGAGTTCCTTCCTGTGGTCTACAACCCTGTCTGCACCTCTCTGCCTCCCATGGGGCCACCCTGCCCCCAGACTGAGATGCCTCAGGTATATTCTGAAGGGCACCAAAAAGCTCAGCCTACTTCCCAGAGGGCACTCTCTGGGATCCAATAAACTGCAGTCTCCCCTGGCCCATTCCTGGTCCTGCTTCCCTCCCTCCAGGTCTGTTGCTTGACTACTCTGGGCTCCAAAGACTTGGGCTCAGATATTGTGACCAGTAGAGGGTGGACATTCGGTCTGTAGGGGTGAAGTGTGGGGAGAGGGACCTGTTCTCTCTAAAAGGATGACAGATGTCTCTTAAAGGTGGTGGTATCAAATGCCAGGCAGGAGGAAGTCCTTAGTGGGGTAGGAGCTCAGGCAGACCCCTAAACCAAAAGAAGCCAGATACTCAAGTCCAACATTAGTGATGTGAGCCAGGGCTGAGTGAGAGAGAGAATCTTGGGGGTGTCCAAGGCTTCTGGGAAGGGATTGATGACAGAAGAAAAGCACAGGAGGAGGCGGGGTACACAGGCAGCAGAGGCCTCACTCTGAGTGAACCAAGGCACCAGCTCCTTGTCCAAAGCCAAAACCTTTGGGTCCAAAGTTTTTGGCATAGCATCCTGTAGAGAGAAGAGAAGGGTAAGGATGTGTTCCTGTTCCCATACCAGCTCCTCCTGCCACTCCTTTTGTCTGGTCTCTGGAAAGGACAGTCCAGCATTGTCTACCTCCCCTTCTCCGCTGCACTCTTAGCCTCAATAATGAGGACCCATTTTCCCTTCATTACAATGATGGAAGGAATCCTTTGCTGAAAAACACTGGATAGGTAGGTATTAGGATGCTAGGCCTATGTCCTATGACCTTTGTCCTATGACCCTTGTCCCTCCCCTATGTTCCTCTGACTCTAGCCAAGTCCCATTCTCCTTCTGGTCTGGTTTCCCCATCTGTGTATGAAGGGAATGCTCTGGCTCTTGGAACAGATGGCAAGGACCTGGTTCATTTAGTTAGTGACATCATAGTCACTTGGTCTCCTGCCTCCTCCAGCCTCCTGCTCTTCAGAGAGAAATGGAACTACCCACCTTTGCAGTAGATCTCACCATCCTTGTCCGCCAGGGTGGTCGACTCAAGGCCTTTGCCACATTTGGCACAACGGAAGCAGGACTTATGCCAGGACTAGGTAAGAAAGGAAATAGTTAACATCACGGTAGTGGCTAAGGTATTGCACCCTAGCCCACCAATAGCTTGCCATAGTGGACAGACATTTTGCAAGTCAGCAAGTCAGGTAGGGATGGGGGAATTGCTTGGAGAATGTGGCCCAGACACAGAGGAAATAGACCAGGGACCAAGTACGAACTCAGAGCATGCCCCATGAAGTGTTACGATGGCTTGCTGCTTGGTAGTTCCGGCTGCAGCATGGAAGGGGGTCACATCCCACCTGGCTGCCAGGCAAGCCTTCTCCACACTATTTTTCCTGTAAAAACTGGTATGGTACTGCCCCATGTTACTTGAATAGCTGCCCTCATGTCCTCCCCAGGACCTCTGTTTATCTTGCAGAGTGGATGTGAGGATTAACAACCCTTCCTGTCTTTGCAGTATAGACATGTTTTCAAAGGGGTTAAGAGGCCCATAGTAAAGTCAGCAGTAGTAAGAAACAGGGCTTCAGAATCAGGCACACCTGGCTGAGCTCCTGGCTTGATTTCTAGCTAAAGGATATGAGCAGATCATTCATTCCTGCTGACTCTTTTTTTTTTTTTTTTTTGTTCTGTGTGACGGGGATAATCCCAGCAGCAATGAAGGGATTACTATGGTCCAGATTTGACCCGTGTTAGTTACCATTCCATCACTCCTGAACCCCATTCCTCAAGATCAAAGGGTGTTCAAAGCCTTGGCCCAAAACAAAAAGAGATGCCCATGTGCTCTAGGTGCCATGAATTCATTGGCTTGATGAATGATCATGGCCAAATCACTCATCCAGCCCAGGCCTCAGGTGAGGATCCAGAACTCCTTTCTTGAGGGACATGTGCTGTGTTCGGCTGACTGTTAGTCTAAGACCACAAACCCCCGGGGGCTCTCCTGCTCTTTCCCACCAAGGCCTGAACACCAAGGAAATGATGGCTAGGCTGTTTAGACAGTTGGTTGGCTAGGGTGATCCTCATTGGGAACTGCTGACTATCATGGGGAGGGTAGGCATGGCAATTATAAATATCTGGGAAAAGGCCCCGTGGTGGTGGCACAGGCCTTTAATCCCAGCACTTGGGAGGCAGAGGCAGGCGGATCTCTGTGAATTCGATCCCAGCCTGGTGTACAAGAGCTAGTTCCAGGACAGCCTCCAAAGCCACGGAGAAACCCTGTCTCGAAAAACAAAAACAAAACAAAACAAAAAAAAATCTGGGAAAAAACCTTCCAGCAGGCTAACATAGTTAGACGGGTGGGTTTTGGGCAGAACGCATCCCATGAAACAAAACGTGTGTTTCAAGATGGTTTGTAAATGTTTCTGGAACCAAAACTCCTAAAATATGATTAAAGCTCTTCTTCCTAGAAACAGACACCCTCTTAGAAAACCCAGCCATGTAATCTTAGCTATCTATCTATATCCTTAGCCTCTAGCTCTTAACTCTAGAGTACCAGATCTTGGAACCCTACGTATCTATCTTAGTAATGCCCTACAAATTGACTAAAGACAGTCTGCAGCACTGGGGATGGTACAGTTTATGGGTTAAGTGAGCTGCCTGGGGTCTGGGACAAGCAACCCACAAGGACAAGGGTTCTTAATTTTTGGAAGGAAGCAAAGTCCACTGCTTGGGCTGCTGCCCTAAGCGGAGCTAGAGTCATCAATCAAGAAGCTTTGTAATTCAGAAGTGCACCTCCCTCTTGTCTCCCTCATGCCCCATAGTGACTTACCTTGCCGGCACCAATCACTTTCTCTGCAGCATAGACTGCCTGGCTACATCGGGGACAGCGCTCAGAGCCACCAATCTTTTGGGCAAACTTGGATGCGTTGGGATTGGTAGTGGGCCTGTGTCCGGGGGCTCTACATGCAGACGTAATGAGATGACTGTCATTTCTGGGGCAGAACCCTTTTGCCTCTTGCCAGGGACAAGACCACAAAAACTAAAGTCACCATGGCCTCTGAAATCCCAAAGCTCAGCATAATATCAAAACAGCACATTTTCCTCATCACCTAGTTAAAAGTCAGCCCCAGAACCATTTAACACATCATTTGCTAGGAACGCCCCCCCCCACCTCAGTCCTTCATTTCTGCGGCTGGTCTATTATTAGATTCTTTCCAGGAGAAATATGCTGACAGACCACTCCCTTTCGGGCAATGACCTTGGCTGAAATTCACTGACTCTTCATCATTCCATCTGCTTCCCCATTGCTGAGACATGAGGCTGCCAGCCACCCTCTATCAGCAGGTCAGAGGCAAGAGATGACGGAGGGTGAGGAGACCCAGTGACACCCTGAGGCACGTCCCAGGAAAGGAAACTACTTCCCCTTAGCAGGGGTGAAGGGTGGTGGGGCTGTGGCACATCTCTGTGCTTTCACTTATAAAATGAAGAAACTGAACTATATAACTCTCGGGGCCCCTTCCGCCTCTGACACTTGTAAAAATCTAGGATGGATGCTCCAAGCAACCTTCCTAGTTGGTCCTCAGCTGCCACAACCACCCCACAAAGTCAGCTGCTGTGTGACTTCCTTTCATTTATTTTTATTGTTATTTGTTCATGTTCTTTTTGTTTGGTTTTGGTCTCTGTATTTTGTGCATGTATGTGCTCATGTGTGCATGCGTGCATGTGTGTGTGTGTGTGTGTGCGCACGCGCACGCGCGCACTCATACAAGGTGAACATGCATCTGTATGTTCACATATGTGGAAGCCAGAGGCCAACATTAGGTCTCCTCTTTAATCACTGTACCCTTTTTTTTTTTTTTTAATACAGGTCTCTCAATGATTTGGCTATACCAGCTGACCAGCAAGTCCCAGGTATCCTCCTGTCTCCACCTCTTCAACACTGGGGTATAGATACACATTGCTAGTACCCAGCTTTTACATGGGTGCCTTGGGTTAAACTCAGGTCCTCATGTTTATGTGGTGAGGACTTTACCATCTGAACCATTTCTCCCCAGCCTGGTTTGTTTTTGCTTTTTGTTTTTATCACAATCTCTGTTTGTAGCAAGATCTTCTAGGTTTAGCCTCCCTAAGATGCCAGGCAAGGACAACTATGTACAGCTTTCCCTTTTAAATCAGAGGCTTCCCAGACACCCCCACCCCCACCCTGCTTAACCAAAAGTGGCTCATTGGTGTCCATCTCAGGAACAGGTGAGAACTCAAGAAAAGGTAGAGAGATATAGTACTCACTCCTCATGCTTGATGCCCAGAGACTCCCCCTTGTCCGTGCTCAGTGTGCCTGCGCCCTGCCCGTAGCCATAGCCTTTTGGCCCATACTTCTTGCCGTAGCATGACTTGCAATAGATCTCTTCTCCATGCACAGCCACAGTGGTACTGTCCAGATTCTTCTTGCAGACCACTGGGGAGGAGACAGGATAATGGTGAGAAGCAGCTCCCTCCTGGGCCTCCCAGGGCTTATGCAGAAGAGGAGATGGCAGGGTGACCAATGGGTAGGAAGGAGTGCTTCCCTCAGACCTCTGTAACCTGGTACCTATCCAAATCTCACTAAAACCCAAGGTTCAGAAGCCAAAGCCGAAGCAGAGGGTAAGCTGTACGTGATCAGATGGAGTTTTACATTCTGCCTAATACAGAGATCATGTGCCCCAAGAGGAGAGGAAACACATGGGCAGGGAGGAGAGCAGGGTTTTACTGCCTCCAGCTGTGGCATTGAAAGAACACATCTGGGTGTGTTGTTACAGCAGGAACAGGTATGCAGGTGAAGTGATACACCCCGAAGAGAAATGGAACATGGATTACGGTGGACTTTGAAACAAGATGCAAGTCATGGTAGTCAGAACTCAATTTGCAGTTTTTAGTCTTAAAAGTCACTGACCCACAGGGAGAAGAGGGGCTGCACCCAATGGAAGAATGCCCTGAGTCACAGGGTGCAAGAGTCAGGGATGCAGTGAGCTACAAAACCTTCAAGCCTCCTACACATTCTGCTACTCTCACAGTGAGCTGGGCCACACACCCAGCACACAAGGGGGAGAGTCTGGCCTCAGATCCCAGATCTCCATTCCATCTGGGTGTCTGGGACAAACTGTTTTGCCTTTCCAGGCTCAGTGTCCTCATTTATGAATGGGGATAATCACATCTGCCCTAAAAGGTAGTAAGGACAGTCCAGGGAGATCTTAGATGTGGCATACTTACTCAGTACCCTGTGCACCAAGGTTCATCATAAATGTCACCCACTCTTTCTAGCATTGCACACAGGTGGTACCATGGGAGAGAGACCACCCGGTTCCATCTTCCTACCTGCTTCTCTCAGGAGACTCAACTTAATATCCCCTAAATACCGGAAATGAGTCATCCTAAATACCTAAAATATCCCCTCTGAAGCTGGAAGTCTTCTGACACCCTGGCAGTGGCCATTCCTTCCAACTTGCCATTCTCTTGCCTGTAAAGGTCTAGCCCTCCTCCAGTTCTCTTTGAGCCCAGATTGGGGACTTCAGTCTAAATAAGGACCCTCTCGTCTGGCACTTGAGATCCCTACCTCATTCCAGCCCTCTCAGCCACCCAAATATGGACCCTCCCACCACCTCCCCTGGGGCTTGGCTCTGGGAAGAACACTAAGGCAGAGAACAACAGGTCAAGGCTCCAACATTCCCTTCTAGGGTGGGAAGTCAGGAACCAGCCTGGCCAGGAACTGTTTCCCTTAGACCTACTTTAAACTGGGAATTCCAAAATGGGAGGGAAGGCAGAAAACAGAGATAAGAGTCCAAGGAGGAAAAGGCCTTTTTGCTGTTGTCTCTGGCAAAGGAGGTGGGTCTTGACTCTGGAGACACCAGGGCCCGCGAGCCCACACCCTATGGATGGCTTTCCTGTGTGCAGTCAAGACCTCCTGTTCCTTTCTGTGTTACCTTGGTTTTCTCAGTGGTACAGTCCTGCCTACTATAACGCCAACATAGCTCCTCCTCCTCCACCCAAGTGATAATAGTAGGGGACTCAGCTCGCTTGTGGGACCCCACTCCCCACCCCTGGCAAAAGCCTGGCCAAAGGAAATTTTGAATATATCCTTCATTCAAGGAAGGCCTGAATAAATGTCTGCCAAATCAGGTTAAGCAAAACAGAAACAAACAAACAAACAAACAAACAAAAAGCCCTAGATTAGTCCATAAACTGTTTCTAGATGCTACCTGATATGGGAAGAACACTCTATGGGGCCTTGCAATGAATGCTCTTTGGGAATATGGAAAAGAGGCACCCACTCACCACACCCAAAGATGGAGAGTAACCCTGCTTCTGTGAGGAAAACCAAAACCCCCGGCTCAGGGTCACAGAGTCTTCCAGAAGCAAGGCCAGGCTAGATCCCAGCTCTGATTTCCACTCCTGGTTTTCTGCCAGGCTGTGGCTCTTCCAGAGGCAGAGAGTGAAAACTGACAGCCTGGGGTCAGAAAGTGTCTGTGGTTTCTCCAAGTTTCCCTCATGCTCAGACTCTGGGGGACAGCTTAGGGCCCACCAGCAGGCTTTGGTTCCATTGTCCACTGGCACAGAGCTAAGACAATCGGGACTTTCTTGTCCACAGAATGGCTGCTCAGCCCAGCTCACCCAGAAGGGAGCTGGCTACAACTCAGGGTTGGGCATACCATCTCAGGGAAGGCTCCTATTGGGCCTGAACTCAATCTATCACCCACTTGATGTCTAGTGGGAAGGGCCCTCTCTACTGAATTGAGGGGGCAGGCCTGCCTCTCTGCCTCAGGCCAAACCCAGGAAGATGTGGTCTCTCTTATCTTTCCTATTGCACCATCCCAGCTTCTTCATACCTATCCTAACCCTCCAGAAAAGTATATACGGTGACAAACTGTGTTGAATGCACGGCCAAGGATTGGAATTAACAGACCTCTTTTAAGGACCTGTCCTAGGTTAACTAACAAAATGGCTCCAACTGCCATCCAGGCCCAGAACCTGCTGGCCTTTGCTGAGGAGAAAAAGCCCTTTGATTCTTTGGGTTACTGTGAATACCATGACTGGAAGGGGGACGATGCGCCTCCTGCTCCTGACAAAGTCTCTAGTGAGATACGATCATGTGCCATGCTGTTACTACAGATGAGACAGTCCCCACTTGCCAGCATGCCTGGACAGCACAAGGCTACCAGGTCAGCTGGAGCTGACACCTGGCAACTGCACAGGCCCAAGATGCCACAGACACACACAACCATCCCCTAGACTCCAGGGCCTGCAGTGGCAGCTGCATAGCAGCCCCTCCTCCCCAAGCCTGATAATTCTGCAATTGCTTCTAATCCCTGACAGCGCCCCCACCCTGCCCCAGGCCCTGCTCCTTCCTTCCTGGACCACCCCCTGAATTCCTGACCTCCATCCACGCCTGACCAGAAGCTAGGCCTCTACCTCACTGCTACAGCTGGTCCCTTTTAGTCAGTGATTAAGCAACATTTGAGAGCAGAGAGGGGGCCTTGCAGACCCAGAAGTCCAGACCCCCTTCCCAGCTGGCACCAAGCTGTCTCTTATTCCCTGGGGGGGGGTGGGGAGAGCTTGAAAACCCTTACATGATGAGCTGCTAAGGACCAGCTGCTTCTGTCTGAAGCCTCCTCAGCAGGCTGGGAGCCAGCAGAGCTCCACAAAAGCTTGTCATCTCCTCATTTATCACATGCACCCTGGGACTGGTACTCTAGGCCTGCTGGGTAGTGTGAGGAGCCTGCTGCCCTGTGCAGGGTGGCTTCAGGCTGGCCAGCCCAGCAACAGGTAGAGGTATGACTATCAGGTGAGCATGTAACACCTGTGCCAGCTGGATCCCACTCCAGATCAAACAATGGGGAGTAAAGACATGCTGAACTCCTGACTGATCCCACAGGGCATTTTCTGGATCCCTCAGGTGGGCTGGGATGTCAACTCCCATGAGCTCCTCAGTGCTCCTGAGTGCTCCACCCCTTTTCTGCGGAGCTCTTATCAATGTTTGTATATTTATCGAACACCCATACTTCTTGAAGTGCTTCTTTTTTTTTTTAACCAACTCTCTCATTTCCGTTCTCATGGTTAACCCTGCGCAGTATTGAACTTGTCCATCACCACACAAACAATACAAAGTAAATTGAAATCCTGGCCCTAATCAGATTGGCGCTGAAGACCAAGGCTTAACCAAGACTCCTACTATCTGCTATTGGGCCTACCTCCCAGGAAACAGCTGCTAAGGTTGTTTCTCTCTCTAATGCAAACTTCTGCTCTAACCACAAAGTGCAAGTCATTTAGGAATTGAGGAGGGGCTTCTCCAAGTTACCACTTTCATTACACACAGCACCTGACCCAGGTACCAGCCAAGGCAGCATCAGAGAGGTGCGGTTCTGGGTTGAGCTGACCTAGCTCTGATGCTCTGTGTCTAGTGCATGGTTCTCTATACCATAGAGTTGCTACAGCGGCTCACAACGGATCATTAAGAGCAGGTAGCAATGAACTTGGAGCCCCTCCTTCCCTCCATATGCTAAGAGGCTGAGCCAGTGAAAGATTTAATTTCCTCCTCTCTGACCTTCACCATAGGGTTGTGGCCTCTCTTACCTAACAAGGGGTAACTTGAAGGCTAGTGAGACTCTGGGTTGAAACCAACTTTCTCAGAAATGATAGGATAGTGTGGCAGGAACAAAGAGAGTGGAAAGTTTTCCTTGGTGAGCCTTTCCAGCTTGGCTGTCAGCCCTGCCCCCCCCCCCCCCACCCACCCCTGCCACCCCCACCGGCACCGGCCAGCTCACCCCTCAGAAGACAGCTTCTGAACGGAACAAAGAGGCCCTTAAGGGTTTCCCTCCCCAGCTGCACTTCAGCCAAATGTCAAGCTGTTTACATCCCCAGGGACCGGTTCCCTGGGGTGCCACAGGCTGAGCTTGTGGGGACAGGCGTTTCCAGGTCCCCTGGCAGCAACAGCAGGCCTGGGCAATACTCACTGCAGAGGAAGCAGGATTTATGGAAGCTGCTGCCCTCGCACTGGACCTCCTCGGCAAAGTAGACGGTCTTTTGGCACACCCCACATTTCTTGCCTCCTCCCCAGTTTGGCATTCTGAAAAAGAACATAGAAATGAGAATGAGGTTTATATACACAGATGAAAACAGACTGCCCATGGTGGGGTGGCCTCCTAGGGGATGACCAGTCCTGGGAGAGTACTTCTGGCTTGCTCTTAGGACCATTCTCCAGTTGCTACTGGAAAGTATGTTGGGGGAGGGGGTCCCTCCTCCCACTTCATCCTATTTGACTCTATGCTTAGCACCCTGCACACCAAGATCATAAGATACAAGGTTTACACCAGGCATTGGTGGCGCACGCCTTTGATCCCAGCACTCGGGAGGCAGAGGCAGGCGGATCTCTGTGAGTTCAAGGTCAGCTGGTCTATAGATCGAGTTCCAGGATCAGCTCCAAAGCTACATAGAGAAAACTTGTCTGGAAAAAATAAAAATTAAAAAAAAAAAGATGCAAAGTTTACAAAGAGCATGCAGGAGTGTTGCAAGCCAGCTAACTAGTGGCAGGAGTTACCACAGTCATCACAGAGAATGGCTCCTGAGGGGCAGATCAACCAGGGTTTGTAAATCGTAAACCAGGGCAAAGTTCACAAGTAGGATGAACATATGGGTTGGAAGGAAAGTACCACAGATAAGTGAGGAAAGGAACCTCACAGTCCATTGTCTCAGAGCCATAAATTCTAACTGTGAAAGGAACAGGATGAGGTATGACCGCCTGAGAGAGTGCTAAAGCTCTAGGCAATGCTTTCTGCTTGGCCCACGGGAGCCTCCTTTGTGATAGTTATTCTTTGAACCACACACATAAGCATTATATATTCTCTTGTATAGAGGATAAGCGATGGGGAAAGGGTTAAGTTGGGCACAGTGATCCATGTCTATGATGCCAATACTTAAAAGGCTGAGACAAATTTGAGGCCAGACTAAACCACATAATCAAAGAACTTGTCTCAGAAAAAAAAACAAAAACAAGGGGCCGGGCATTGGTGACACAAACTTCAATCCCAGCAGAGAAGGGAGAAGCAGGCGGATCTCTGTGAGTTCGAGGCCGGCCTGGTCTACAGAGCAAGTTCCAGGACAGCCTCCAAAACAATACAGAGAAACCCTGTCTCGAAAAACAAAAACAAACAAACAAACAAAAGACTGCATCTCATAAAAAGAAAAAACAAACAAAAGGTTTAAAACAACACACAGGGCACTGCCCTCTAGCACTACAAAGCCAGATTAGTGCACCACCTGCCTCTGCCTGCCGAGTGCTAGAATTAAGGAAATGCATTGGTCCAGCCTAGGACTCTGACAGTAATTCCTAGCAGATAGGTTGGGCCTATGTGGAAGATGTTCTAGGTGTTGGTTCTGAGCTGTGGTCCTGATGCCAGACTTTTCAGTCCCGGTTTGATCCTGACACTCACTTGCTGTGTGACCCTGGACAGGGGACTTGGACTTCACAGACCTTGACTTCTGCAACTTGAAAGTGGGGCTGAAAATAAAAGTTCTTCATAGGCTATTTCTGGGGACTAGACGTTTGGGATGTCAGAGGCCCAGCACACACTGAGTGCTTCATAATTTGTACAACACAAGCCAGAGACTGTAGGACAGCTGATGGCACAGGGGGTGCGTGCCTCGGGGATGCGGAGAACATCTATGTCCCTCAGCTGATAATTTGCTTCTTTCCTGTCACCCCACAAATATACCGCGGGAGGAGCAGGTGACACTTGTAGCTCTTTTGACAGAAGCCTATGAAAGGAAGATGAAGGCACAGTCGGTGAAGGCTGTAAGATGGTATGAAGGGAGCTGAGGACTTAGTGAATGGACACAGGGTGCTAGGGAAGGAAAAGGATGGGAGCTACAGGAGTGTGTTGTTCAAAAGCCAGAGAAGCCTAATGAAAGAGTGCTCCCCGATCTGTATCGTGGGGTCCCACACCATGCACAGCGCCTGACACACAGGCACACACATGGTATCCAATGCGCAGTTGAGGAATGGGTGAGTCGGATGAGTCCAGTTGTATCTCTGGAAGTGGGATCCAGTAGACGTGTGAAGGCTGAGAAGCCAACCTAGGGTAGGGATAGCACTGGTGACGCTGACCCCCTGGTTACGGAGACCAAACACCGCCAACCACATCCAAAAGAGCGAAGTTTTGTGGGGGCAGAAGAGAGATGCATTTTCACCCCCTCATCCTGAAAGTTGGGGTTCCATCTAGTCCCAGTCTCCTGCATTCCTACCTCCCTATTGTCACCTCCGTGCAGAGACTGCTTACAGCACCACAACTATAGGAGGCAGAACTGGATTCTAACGAGGGTCCATGCATTTCTGCCTTTCTTCTTAGTCTAGCCCCAGCTAATTTCACATGAGCTTCTCTAGGCCCATCCACAGGTGCCTCCATTTGCAAATGAGCCCTCTGAACTCACAGCCTCCTATCAACTGTTGTTTTTCCTGACTTCTCCACTTTGCTTGTGGTGACATCACCATCCTCTCTGTTCGTAAACGAACAAAGATGGGGCTCTTCACTTTCCCCTCGTCCACTCTGCTCCCCTCTACTCTCTTCTTATCACAGTGCTGTATCCCACGCCCTTTAGACTCCACTGGCCCTGGGCACGTCCCCCTGCTCCTCTCCCCACCCCTCCACCTGCCTGGTTGCCTTGCCTTCACCCAGCAGCCTTGGCCGCCCCTGGAGGAATATGTCTGCTACAGTCATTAGTCCCATTTTAAGCCATGTTGTGTGACTTGGGCCTAACCTAGTCAGCCAAAGTTATTGTTTAGTCATCTGTGAGACCAGTGGGATAAGAATTCCTGGGGGCTCTGGAAGAGAAAGTAATCCTGTCTCCTGAGAGTTTCTTGGGAGTAAGTGCCCTCCACCTCTAGAGACAGGAGCAAGGGGAAGTGAGTCCAAAGAACTGATGAGATTAAGTAAACGGAGTCTTGGATGATGTCATCGAATAACCAGCTTAAGCCAAACCTATAGCTCAGCGTGCTTCTGAATGCTAGTTATTATACAAACAACCAACTCTGCATTGTTTAAGCTGCTTGGCTGTCATATAACTGGTGTTCAGACTGGCCCTAACATTTCCTAACCCATCCCCACCCAGCAGCTCCTAGCTTCTCACAGGGCAGCACCCCCTCACCAGAAACCAAGAATGCCCCTGCCACCAGACCTCAGAACACTGCTCTTGGCCTTGCAGATCTCAGCCTGCCCCAAGCTGGTTCCTATCATCTCATAGACAGGAAGCTGTCAATTTAGCTCTTGTTCAACCCTCTGAGTGCTCAGCTCAATCTACCATGAAGAAAGCCTCAGACCATTCCTTCGTGAAGAGCTGGGAGGATTGCGGTGAGGCTGAGGGCAGAGGCTGGGTGTACTGTCCTCCCAGAGAATATCTGGGGAGACTATCTCCTCTACACACATCCGCTTTCCTTCATCTGGGTTCAGGACTAACCTTGGCTCCATGGGCTCACGCATCCTGGAGGCAGCTTTCTCTACCCAACTATGACCTCTCTGCTTCTTCAGATAACCTTGGGGCCACTCCCCATCCCAACCTTTCATGACCCCTTCAACCCCTGTCTGTCCTGAGGACTCCAGGGCTTAACTGCACTTGCTGAACAAGTACTCAGGGCTGCAAACCCAAGGAAGAGAAGGGAAATTCAGCAAGAACAGCGCATATCTCACGGTCTAATTGCCAGCCATCTCCCCTCCTCCCTTGCTCTGGGAACCCAAGTTCTGCTCAGGCAGCTATCCTCTGAGAAATGAAGAATAGATGCCCAGTTTTTGGCTAAGAAAAACCAGGTTCAGAGAGGTTGAGCAACCTGCTTACAGCACCACAACTATAGGAGGCAGAACTGGATTTTAACGAGGGTCCATACATTTCTGTCCTGTGACCCCAGTCATCGGGCTGTGGACAGAGCATGTTTAAGGGTGGCTGCATAGGGTGGGCATGCAGTTCATCAAGACAGGGTCTCCTCTTTGACCTTCCCGTGCAACCCTCTAAAGCAGTAGGGGTCACGCTTGTGTCCCTAAGGGACACCCCTAAGGGAGGAACAGTCTCCCTTAGCCACGTGGTAGAAAGCCGTTCCAAGCAGTGTTTTGTTCAGACATAAAGCCCTTCTCCCACTGGGGAAGACCCACAGCTCCGTACAGATGTCCCCTTGTTCTCCCTGGCCCTGTGTCCGGGGCTTTATCCAGCAGGGCTCCAGGGAATCAGGAACATGGTGTGTGTGTGGGGGGGGGGGGGGGTGGGGGGGGGGGGGGGGGGGATTGGGTGAAAGCCGAGGACCGTCAGTGCAGGAGGTCAGCTCTGGATGTCCCTTGGCTGGGTCATTCCTTGAGCTGGGAATCTGGTTGGGACCCCAGGCTTCAAGAGGGAAAGCAGAAACAATGCCACAGACAGAAAGCATGCTCTACCCTCTCTGCCCAGATGATGACCCCTCAGGGGACCCTGACTATGGAGAAGAGTCCCAGCTGGAGGGTTCTGTCGCCACCTCCTTCCAGTGTGAGGTGATGCAGGCGCCTCACTCCACCTCCTCCGTTCTGCCCAGCCCCTTCTTGTCAAAGCCAAATTCCAACCGTGGGGAAGCTGGATTGCCTTAAAAGGAAGGCTGTTTCTTAGTCTGCTCAGGGCTTAGAGGGATGTGAGGTTTATTCTCAATTGCCTTCCCAGTTCTGGGGCACAGAAGGCCTATGGGAGGCTGTGCCCCGTGCTTAGGAAATCGGAGCTGGGGTTAAAAAGTGCAGTGTATCTGCTCCTAGCTGAGTGAATACTTATCGCTCTCAACGTCATTCCTTTATCCCTAAAATAACACTCCCATATTATGATGATTAAATAAGAACATACAAAAGGGATCGTGCACTATAGAGAGTGTGCCTCCGGTTGCTACCTACCCCTCAGCCCAGATGTGGAGCCAGACGAC